TTTTTTCTCATATTGACTCTGAAAACCTAAACTCTCTGGCTTTCTCTTTAAGGGATGTTATAAGCCATATTTCGAACCACGTAAATACCAAAATGAATTTGGTCAAAATCTGTGTTGGTCTTATAGTGAGTTTATTAATAATTATGTTGCCATCCTTTGGCAGAAAGACCGCAGTAATGAAAACCACATTTCACCTTTTACATGCATAATTGGATGAGATCACCAGATGCTGGGGTTAAGATCACATCAACAGGAAAACTTGAAAATGGGAGCTGCATGGAAAAATACTAGAACCAATTAGCTCTGTCAAAGACCATATGACCAAGTATAGGGGAGAAAAATAGATTTTGACCATGAACTGACCTCAGGTCATTTCACAATGGAAAAAAACAGCAAGATGGCCCTTCTTGCAGTTGTTTGAGGCTTTTGATAATAGCAGCAAATACCTTGGAAATTGGTACATCATGGTCAGTGTTGGAAAACTCAGGTTAGATTAATTTTGTTTTTCTAACTTTATTATGGTAATTTTCAGACACAGAAAACTTTAAAAAAAGTCATACTGTGAACAGCTATATATCCACTGCCTAGGTTCTACCATTAACATTTTTCTGTATTGTTGCATAACTATGTATGTATTCATTTTCCTATTAATCTGTTTTTCCATCTTATGGTTTTATGCATTTCAAAGTAAGTTGAACACATCCAGAACCTTCTTCCTTCTGGAGTACTTCCACATGCATATAATTAACTAGAGTTCAGAATTTATAGATGGTTCTTATTTCAAGATAATACTACATATAGTGAAATGCATGTACATTAAGTATACTAACATGATAAATTTTGGTAAATGAATACACTTATTTAATTAAGAACTTTATTAAGATGGAGTACATTGCAATTACTGCAGAATGTTCCCTCATGTCTCATCAAAGTCAAGTCCTGCCCTGACTCCCACCTTCAGAGGTAGCCAGTCTTAGGATATTTCTCATCATATCTTACTTAATTTAGCTTGTTCTAGAACTTTAAAGGAATGGAATCGTGTAGAGTGTACTCTTTTTGAATAAAGCTTCTTTCATGTAGGAGATGTTTTTGACATTCATCTATGTCGTTGGATGTATCAGTAGCTTCTTCCCTTTGATTGGTGAATAGTGTTGATGCTATGGCTATGCCGCAGCTTCTGTGTCCATTCTCCTATTGATGGATACTTGAATTGTTACCAGTTTGGGGCTGTTCATGAACAAAAATGCTCTACTTTTCCTGTGTGTAGGTACATAGGAATGGGATCACTGGGTTATATGGTAGGTATATACTTAGTTTTGTAAGAAACTTCCTGACATTTTCCTGAACTGTACTGTTTTATACTCCTACCAAAATGTGTGAGCATTCTGGCCAGTCACAGCAACCCCTGGGATTGTCAGCCTCTTTAAATTGAACTGTTCTGGTGGATGTATAGCGTTATCTTATTTTGCTCAGTCTTAGTGCTTATTTTATCATGTATTTACCTAATGATGAATGATGTTGAGCCCTTTTCACGTGCTTGTTAATCACATCAGTCTTCCTCTGCGAAATCTGTTCGAATCCTTTGCTGTTTTAACAGGTGAATATCTATCTTCAAGAAAGAGAGTTTTTTAGCCCAGGCTGGTATAGCTCAGTGGATTGAGCACAGGCCTGTGAAGCAAAGGGTTGCCAGTTTGATTCCCCGTTAGGGCACATGCCTGGAATACAGGCCAGGTCCCTAGTAGGGGACACATGAAAGGCAACCACACATTGATGTCTCTCCCTCTCTTTCTCCCTCATTCCCCTTCTCTCTAAAAAAAAATCTTTAAAAAAATTTTTTAAGTTTTTTAAAGAATATATTTTGGAAAGCAGTCTTTTGTCAGATATGTTTCATGAATATTCCCTCCTAGTTTGTGCCTAGCCCATTCATTTTTTAAAATGATATATTTTGTGGAGAAGTTTTTCATTTTGATTGATTCTCATTTACCAGTTTTTATTACTTTTTGTGTCCTGTCTGAGAAAGCTTTGTCTGCTCACAGTGTCACATAGCAGATGTCTATTTATTATAAATTGGTATATCCGTTTAAAAATTAACTTATATCTTGAAGCTTTCACCTAATAGAACTTCTCACGACCTTATGTTGGCTAAGAGAAATCTGAATATCTCAACAAAGTGTATAAGGACAATGGTTTCAGGTTTTTTAATTTTTGTCAACACCCCAGGATGTTTTCTAGTTTTCTTGAGCCTTTGACTTAGAGGATGGGGAGGGATGGCAGAAGTGTATTATTCTCAGGCAAGGGAGAAGAGGGTATAAACTGCTATGGGAAAATCACCTATTCAAATATCCCTTTCTTTTTCTTCCTCCCTCTTCTGTGAACTAATAATGGCTGTTGCCCAACTTCTCCCACTGTTCTCTCTGATGAAGGGATCACAGTTTCTAGGCATCCGAATCCATCATGTTTGCAAGGGGTTGCCATCTGGAATTGTTGGAGTAGCTGACGTTCTATCTATGTTTTAAAGCTTGGTAGTGATTTTGGGTTATTTTATTTATTTATTTTTACAAGGAAGGGAAAGGAGGGAGAAAGAGAGGTAGAGAAACATCTATGTGTGGTTGCCTTTCTCATGCCCACATCTGGATACATGGTCCACAATCCAGGCATGTGCTCTGATGGGGAATTGAAGTGGCGACCTTTTACTTGGTGGGGTGATACTCCACCAAGCCACACTGGTCAGGACATAAAGCCCATTAGGGATTCGGACAGTGTATGATTTTCCATTATCCTCGAGAGAACTATATTAATAGACCTACTTTCACAAATGTTCAATTTAACCATTTATTTTACTATTGGAGAAAAGCAACGATTGCTGGTAAAACACTTGAGCTTAAAAGCTGACTCTTCTATTTGCTAGGAGGGTCATTCTCTACCCTTTCACCTTTGATCTAATCTTGTGTTTAAAGCTTAGATGTGTCTCCTGAAGGCAGCATGTTCTTGGGTTTTGTTTTTGGATCCAATCTGCTCCTCTCTGCTTCTTTATTGGAGAATTCAGTCCATTTAGATTTAGAGTAATTATTGATGTAGGAGGATTTTTTGTAGCCATTTTATCTTTTGTTTTCTGTTAGCTCTATGCCTCCTTTGGTTCTTTGTGTGTGTTCCTTGGGAAGGTGGGCACCTCCTCTATATTCTGGTCACTTCTAGCTCAGGGGACCAATCCTGTGAGGGAATGTGGTGGGCAATGAGGCTCCAAATCCATGAAATTCCATTGCTGTCTCATGCAGAAAAAAATTGCTAGAAAACAAAACGCAACCAACTGAATGGCAGAAGATATCTGCAAACGGCGGGTCTGACGAGGGGCCAGTATTCAAAAATTATAAAGCACTCATAAAAACTCAACATCAAGCAAGCCAAAAGTCCAATTTAAAAATGGGCAGAGGACCTGAACTGAGACTTCTCCCAAGGAGACATACAAATGGCCAACAGACATGTGAAAAGATGGCCAACTTCATGAGCTGTCAGGGAAATGCACCTCAAAACTACAATGAGATAACACCTCACATCTGTTAGAATGTCTGTTCTCAACAAGACAACTAATAACAAATGTTGGAGAGGTCATGGAGGAAAAGGAACTCTCACTGCTGGTGGGAATGTAAAGTGGTAACAGTCACTATGGAAAACAGTATAGAGGTCCCCCCAAAATGAAGAATAGAGTTCCTGTATGATCCAGCGTTTATTCGCAGAGACATATGCACCTGTAACTTCATTGTGGCATTATTCATGGTGGCCGAGACATGGAGAAAACCAGATATCCAGCATTAGATGATTGGATAGAGACAGCATGATGCATATACACAGTGGGATTACTACTCAGTCATGAGAAAAGATGCAATGTTGCCATTTGCATCAATGTGGATGGACCTGGAGAACATCATGCTAAGTGAAATAAGTCAGAAACAGCCAAGAACCATATGATCTCACTCATATGTGGGATATAATACTGAAACTCATAGACACAGACAGCAGTGTGGTGGTTTTTCAGATGGAGCAGGTAGGGTAGTAAATTGTAAATGGGTTCAAATGTATGATGACAGAAGGTAATTTGACTTTGGGAGGTAGGCACACAATGCAATATACAGACCATGTGTCATAGTAAAATATACTTGAGACTTACATAATCTTGAAAAATCACTAGACTATTATTCATAGACAAAACAGTAAAATAAAGCTGACTATTCTTCAGGTCCATGTCCACAGTTGATTGAGGAGCAAAGTGTATCAGAATTTTGAGAGGTTATCCAGTTGCATTATGGTTGAGTAATTTTGAATACCATATTAGAGGTTTTTGTTTTGTTTCATTTTTAAAAGAGCTTTTATAAATTTACATTTCATTAGATAACAGAGAAGCAAAATTCAAAACAAAACAAAGCCAAGAATTGTACCCACCCTGGAAGTGTCATTTGAGCCCCACCAGATTGGCAGTAGCCAGTTATGAATGTGTGCATGCTGTGTGTCTGTGTATATATACACAGACAAACATACATTTTTGCATGTGGGAGATGGCTTTAGCAATGGTGGTGGCAGTACATATTAAACTTTCATAGAAAAGTTAACAGTTTCTCCTGTGGCTTTCCTGCAGTCCTACCAGGTTTTTCCCCCAGCCATTTTTGTTCACCCAGGAGTTAGATTTGTTCATGTTCATCTGCTCAATGCTGGTATCAAGCTGTGAACAATCACATGACCAGAGAAGAAGTCTCTAAGGAGGCCAAAGAGATTTTTAACTCCTTAGACAGTCAAAAATTACCTTTGGGATCTAAGAGGTCCAGTTCTATTTATTTCCGCCTGCTATTTCCTCTAATCTCAACATCCCAATTCTGTGTGCTTTTGATCTTTGAGGTAGCAATATTGAAAATGGAATGAGTTGGGGGGGTCAAGGGTGGTTTGTTGATAAAGGTTGGTTGCTAGAGTTTTATACCCTTTTCTTTACTCTTAGTTTTTTATTGTTGCAGAAGAAGCTACTATGGAGGAAACTGGGCCAGTTTCAGCTTTTCAGGATTGTTGTCCTGGATAAAGGAATACCAGGTAAAGTTCTTACCTATCTTTAATTCACTAGGTTTTATATGTGTCATGTAATTGAAGAAAAGCCTAGGCTTCATCTGTCATATACTATTTTTTAAATCTTTTTAAGTATACTTTATTGATTATGCTATTACAGTTTTCCCAATTTTCCTCCTTTATCGCCCCTCCCATCTGCACCCCCCAACACTCCAGCCATCTCCCCCATTAGTTTATATAATATACTATCAATACTTAATTTTTACTTTCTTAAAAATTATTCAGTCACCATTTCAAGTAAGATTTTTCCAATGCCTTCAAAATATAGATCATGCTTTTTAAATATAAATAAATATGTTGGCTGAAGAATAAAGCACATATACTTGATATCATTTTGTAATCATTCTATATGCCCAAATATAAAGCAGGTTTTTTTCCTCCCAAATAGTTTTTCATAAAAAACACTTCAGTTCTTATAAAATGTCACCTATACTAGTTGTTCTTTCACTTAGTACATTTTTGGAGAAAAAAAAAAACTATTTGGGGAAAATACAGTCATTTGAAATGATCTCAGTCATTTGTTGTTTTACGTGATTATAGAAGTCATCTGACAGAATCAGTGAAAACAAAAAGCAAGGACGTTTTTAAATAAAATTTAGTAATTTTTTTCCAAGGGTAGGGCCTCATGACTGTAGCTGTTGTGTGTCATTTACAGAAATATTTCAGAGCTTATTTAAAGCATATTAATGGGAGTTGCTTATGTTGTGGAGTTCATCCGTTTCTATGATATGGATTTAAAAAACACTGTCCTAATTTTAGATAAATTGTATATGTGGCTTGAAATGAAATCCCTACTGAGAACATCATACCATGCAATGATGGAATGAGAAGCTGATACATCTCAGAAGAATGTAGGCAGTTTAGAAGGGAGGATGTTATTATACTCTAGAAAATTGTATTCAGCCCTGGCTGGTGTAGCTCAGTGGATTGAGTGCAGGCCTGTGAAGCAGCGGGTCGCTGGTTCAATTCCCGGTCAGGGCACATGCCTGGGTTGCAGGCCAGGTCCCCAGTAGGGGATGTATGAGAGGCAGCCACACATTGGTGTTTCTCTCCCACTCTTTCTCCTTCCCTTCCCCTCTCCCTAAAAATAAATAAAATATTTAAAAAAAAGAAAATTGTATTTTAGTGAGCTAAACCAATGTAGCTAAGACTTCATAGGCACCTCCATTTGCTAAGTAAGCAAAGCACATTAAGCATTGGAGTTGGACTGATTAATTTTGTGGTGAACATGACTCAAAAATTTGTGCTTCCAGTGATGACAAGGACATTGGTATTGAAGATGCAGTAACGATTCAGTTTGAATCACATTTTTCGATAGAACTGAGAGTGTGGAGAAATAACCAATATTTGTAGAGTGGCATTGCATGTAATTCAAACTATGTACAAATCAAGGAACTAAGTGTTATAAGGAGACATTAAAACGTTTTACCTATATGCCTTAAATGTTAATATATTTATGCTTATCAGCAGCCACTTTGTGAACCCTACCCTTGGGGAGTCTCTGTGAGGGTCACCTGAGATGAGGCAAATTTAGTGCTTCTTTACTTCCATGAGCAAATGTAATTTGGAATCTTGGAACACCACCAAAATACATTTCCCCATTGGCTGCATGGGAAAGTTTTGCTGAGTGAAGGGATTTAAACAAAAATTGGTAATGAGTTAGATATATTAAAATAAAATATTTTTGTAGACATTTCTTTTATTTTAACACTCCGTTTACTCTAGCATCTTGACCCAGTTGCGGGATCTTTTTTCCATTCACTCTCTGTTACTACTCTGCAGTTCCTTCTCTAGGCCCGGAGCCCCATGGGGTTCCTGTTCTTGTTCTTCACCTCCTCTCGTACTTATGTGGATGTGTTTAATGTTGCCTAACAATTGCACTTAATTATAAGAGATGTCTGCTATTGCTTTTCTTCAGTTTAAAATGTTAAATTTAAGACAATGAAACTTTTTAAACTAAATGTTTTGGCGTGACTGGTTAATTAGATCATATAGGTTTAAGTGGACATTTCTGTGATACATGATCTGTATATCGCCCTGTGTGCCCACCACCCGTAGTGAAATCAATCATCTTCTGCCACCATATATTGGATCTCTTTCCTTCTTCCCCACTCCCCACCTCTGTTAACCTCCATACTGTAAGACAGCAAAACTTTGAAAAGTAACTGTTGCCCTCCTTTATCAAATCTGTAAGTTTAGAATTTCTCTGAGGTGAATTTATTTAAAAGATATTATAGTAAGGGACTTCCACCAAGATGGAGGCATAGGTGGATGTGCCGTGCCTTCTCACACAACCAAGTTTAGAGACAACTAAATATTAGCAACAGAAAACACAGCCAGAACATGGAAAATTGAACTTTTTGGAAGTCCATTAACAACAAATTCTTCAGCCTGACTGGTAAGGGGCAAAACTAGCGGCTGGTGAAGCGGGGTTGCACAGGAGGACTCCGTCAGACGGACTCAGGCGCACGGAATCCAGGCGCAGGGTTGGACCTAGCAAGCGACCCAGCGAGTGACCAGGCAAGCGACTGCGGGGGAGACAGCAGAGGAGCAGTGCTGCGTGCTGACTGTGGTCGCGAATTTGTGGACAGGCGAGGGAGTGGGCTGTTGGACCGGGGCCTGGCAGGTCCTGCAGCAAGCGGCAGTGGAGGGCTCCGCCATTTCCCCGCTCTGACCCCACCTCCACGTACAGCGTCATAACCCAGCCACTCTGAGTGGCCCGGCCCTGGCGAACCACCTAAGGCACTGCTTCTCACCCAGCTGTGAGAAACAGCAGAGGAGGTCGCCATTCCCCCGCTCTGACCACGCCCCCACATACAGAGTCACAACCCAGCGACCTGGGAGTCCAAGGCGCCGCTTCTCACACTTAAAGGGCATGGACAGACCAAAAATGGCGCAGGAAGATCTCAAAGCCCCAGAGCCTATAGATCTAAGCAATGAAGAAATAGCAAAACTCTCAGATGCACAGTTTAAAACACTGGTGATCAGGATCCTCACAGAACTGGTTGATTATACCGACAAATTAGACAAACATATGAAGGCGAAACTAATTGAAATGAATGGAATTGCACAGGGCACCAATAGCAATGAAAAGGAAACTGGGACTCAAATCAATGGAGTGGACCAGAAGAAAGCAAATAATGGCCAAACAGAAAAGAGTCAAGAAGCAAGAATTCAAAGAAATGAGGAGAGTCTTAGGAACCTCCAGGGCATCTTTAAACGCTCCAACATCCGAATTATAGGGGTACCAGAAGGGGGAAAGGAACAGCCACCAGTGGAAAACTTATTTGAACAAATAATAAAGGAGAATTTCCCCCAATCTGGCAAAGGAAATAGACTTCCAGGAAATCCAGGAAGCTCAGAGAGTCCCAAAGAAGTTGGACCCAAGAAGGAACACACCAAGGCACATCATAATTACATTAGCCAAAATTAAAATGAAGGAGAGAATCCCAGAAGCAGCAAGAGCTAAGGGGACAGTCACCTACAAAGGAGTCCCCATCAGACTGTCAGCTGATTTCTCAAAAGAGACCTTACAGGCAAGAAGGGGCTGGAAAGAGGTATTCCAAGTCATGAAATCCAAAGACCTACAACCAAGATTGCTCTATCCAGGAAAACTTTCATTTAGAATGGAAGGACAGATAAAGTGCTTCTCAGATAAGATCAGATTCAAGGAGTTCATCATCACCAAGCCCTTATTATATGAAACGTTAAAGGGAGTTATCTAAGAAAAAGAAGTTAAAGAAACATGAACAGTGAAAGGACAACAAACTCACAGTTATTAACAACCACACCTAAAACGAAAGCAAACTAAAAGGACAGCTAGATCAGGAGTGGAAACATAGAAATGAAGATCTCAAGGAGGGTTAGCAACAGGGGAGTGGGAGGAGAAGAAGAGGGGAGAAGGTATAGAAAATAAATAGCATAGACAGTAGATAGAAAATAGAAGGGGGGGCAAGAATAGTATGGGAAATATAGAATCTAAAGAACTTGAGACACATGGTCATAAACTAAAGGGGGGGTAATGGTGGAGATGGGGGGTAGGGTGGAGGGGAATGAAAGGGGGAATAGAACAACTGTAACAGCATAATCAATAAAAAATTTAAAAAAACAGCCCTGGCTGGTGTAGCTCAGTGGATTGAGCACTGGCCTGCGAACTAGAGGATCGCAGTTCGATTCCCAGTCAGGGCACATGCCTGGGTTGCAAGCAAGTTCCCTGCAGGCCAGCTCCCAGCAGGGGACGCATTAGAGGCAACCATACATTGATGTTTCTCTCCCTCTCTCCTTCTCCTCTAAAGATAAATAAATTTTAAATAAATAAATAAATAAATAATTAAAAAAAAAAGAAAATGTTACCCCTTTAAAAAAAAAAGATATTATAGTAATACTTTACTAGCTAGTTGTCTGGGTGTATGTCAAATATTTTTAAACTTTTTTTTTCTGCCTGAGAGATGGGTGTCAAATAGATTAAACATTTAAACAGATTTAAACTTGATCCTTTGATTGATCAAGAAATTTGAGAAAGGTGTATGTTGGCATCTTCAAAATTACCCTGTATTTAGATCTTGCCATATCATAATTTTCTCCCTAAAATACTGTATACGTAGGAATTACTGAAAATTTTAAAGGATCACTTTCATTCCTTAGTATTAGTTTACATCCTTTATATTTTCTTGTTTTTATTGTCTTTCTCAATATAAAATATTAAGGGGTTGATTATTTCTGTTGATTTACTAAAGCCCTGAGTTACGTTGGGATGAGTACTTTGCAAAAATATTTTTTACATGTATTCAAAATTCAACATGGCTAGTGATCAACCTTCAAAGATCAAAGAGTAACTAGAATCAGTTAATTTTTAACATGCAGTTTCAATAACAAAATGTAAAAATTTTATATTTAACAGATAATGAGACATATAAGCTTGATTCTCAGGAGATGGAACATTATTTGTTATGGTTTTTAAGCAGTGTGAAAACAGCCATGCCCAAATGACTACATCGAAATATCAATTATTTGGATGGAAATTTGTAAACCAGCCCAAACTTTTGATAGGACAGATTTTATTCTTTGTTTTTCTCACCTTCCGCTGAAGTTGGCGCATTGTGCTACTGGGATTCCTTCAGTGGCTCTGGAGTCATGTCCAGCCTTGAGTTTTGATGGGATGGAAGGACAAGCATGAATTTAGAAATGTGTTCTCAGAGCACATTGAATTTAGGTGTTCTCAGAAGGGTACAGATTTGGATGACTCAGATAATTACAATTTCTCATCTGTGTTTTCTTTAGGAAAAGAGTGACATTGTGAATGAAAGCCCCTCATGGCAAGAACAGATCCTTGAAAATGAAGAAGCCATTGCTCTTAGCAAGGTGGACAAAACCATTCAACATGTGGAAGTGTTTTGCTATGCCAGGTATAAAAATTCTTTATTCAGGATAATGTAAGTTAATGACCTCTTACTAGTACTTCAGAAGAAGCCAACAATAAGGAAGTATATGTCATTGGTTGCTATATGTCTGATATGCTGGTTTGCATTTTTTAAAATGTAACTTTCAGCTTTCTCTGTTTAGATAGTAATAATAATAATCATAATAATATCCTATATTGATGACTTATCATTTACCAAGCTCTTTTAAATTTATTATCGTATTTGATTGTTAAAACTATCCTGTGTTATGATAGAGTGACTAGCAGTAGTTGCATTTTTTTCAACATCCTTAGTAGAACTAAAAAAAGATTAATTTGCTGAATGTCACATTGCTCAATAAATGTCAAGGCCACACCCAAGCTGGTTAGTAAATGGAGCCTAAGATTAAAACCCAGGATTTTTAAATTGTAGTCCGCTGTTTTTCTAACTTTTCTGAGATAATGTTTCAAGTAAGAAAATGGCAAATATGCACAGTTTTTCTTAGATAGTATTTATCTAAGAAAATTTATGGAAAATTATAATTATGCATTTAAGTAATCAAAGTGAGTGTTTACAACATTTGGGGCCATACTGTAAGTCAGGAGAGGAATGGTGGGAAGCCTGGGTGTTTTCAGTGTGTCCGACTCAGAGACTTTAGTATTTTAAAATATTAGAAAAATTTATTTCTTCACATGACAGAGTTTATAGGGTGAAAGGTAGTAATTGCATAGTTCGGTGCAGTAACTTAAGTAGTTATAGACTTGAAGGGTTTAGAACAGGGGTGTCAAACTCATTTTCACCGGGGTTGCCTTCAAAGGGCCAAATGTAATTTCAACTCTTTAACAGTTAAGGAGTAGTTACATTTATACAGTCCTAAAATTATTTCGGCCCTTTGAAGGCAACTGTGACGCTGATGTGGCCCCTGGTGAAAATGAGTTTGACAGCCCTGCTCTAGAACATCAGACTGTCACACACTTGAAATGCAAGACACTAGAGATTCTGAGAGATGCGCTCTGTCATTCTGAGAACTTCGGCAACTTGCTGTTTATTTCTTAATCTGTATTCAGAGGTTTTGCATAACTAGCATTTCTCCAATAAATACACAACTATTTTGCTATGATTTTCTGCAAAAAGATAGCCTTTCAAATGCCAGATATAGACTGTAATTTATGTAATACTCAGTGGCATTTTGTTTGAGACATTGGTTAGAGCCAGTGCGGACAGATGTATAACAGACGGTAATCTCAACTGAAAACTCACATGCTTTAGTAAAACCAGGAATAAATATGTGGTAACTGTCTTGTGTGTCCATGAATGCTATTTGACTAGAATATGATGACCATGACATCACGGTTGTTGGAGAAGTACATTTTGATATTTTATGGCATTTGATTTCTCTCTACTCTTCATGACAGTTAGGGTTTATAGTTTCTAATGGCCAAACCGACACATGTACGTGCAGAAGAAATGGCCTCATTTTCAGTGTTTGATTTTTCCATTTTCATTTTTGGAACTTCTTGAAATGGAAAAGGGAAAGATGGGTAGTAGGAGGTTTGTTTTAAACAAGCAAACTAGAACACTACTATATGTTCCTCTAAGTGGCTATTAGAGTATGGAACTGGGGTAATGTTCTGTCTGTCTTCATTTACTTGTAAAAGGTAGCTGGTTATTCATGTCACACTAAGCAGGAAGAGCCCTGAAAAGATGCACTGGAGGAATGTACACAAAATCCACTTTATAACAAGTCCCACAAACGAGTATCAACAGGAATAGCAATAGTTCACTTAACCCTACCCACACTGGGGCATACTGAACCTTTTAGATCATGGTAGTAAACTTAGAATTATGTGAAAGGTTCTAGGCCAGAATACCTGTCACAAAGACTTACTTTATATGACAGATTATAATCCAGGACCCACTAACTTAAATCAAAAGCCTTGTTTAACACATATTTTGGACAACCTTATTTTCCACTGTTTTTGTTTTCTTTCCTACCATAGTACTTTAAAGCAGCAAAGAGGAAAGGGAGATCTGCCAAGAGGCAAGCACACTGCAAACCACAAGAAGGACCCAGGTTCTAGTCTTGCCATTCAGCTTGCTATATGATAGTGAGTGAGAGCTGCCTCCTTCTCTGCACCTGTGTTTTACCATTAAGAAGACAAAGGGTTTGGACCACTTGATCCCTAAGGTCCCTCTAGGCTTTAACATGCTGCTGTGTTTAGGTGCTACTTGCAAGACTAACAGAGGAGGATTAGACAGCATTGGCAGGTGGAGAGCTGGTGGGTCAAATGGCCTTCAAGTTAGAGTATCCCTCAAGGTCATCATTGTATTATAGCACACTATAAACAATGGGTGGTCATATTTATATTGTATTTTCTTTAGGTAAAAGTTAAATTATGATCTTTATCTTTCCCTTGCCAATGGAGGGGAATTTTAAATACATTTTAGAGAGATGAGTATTAAAAATTACTAGAATAAAATTTTTAACATTTTAAGAAATTAAATTTGGTTTTCTAGAAAGTGCCTGCATTTTCTTGTGGAGTAAAGTCATCACTGTTTGTAGATCGTTGACATTCTTGTGGACTCTATCACAAAATCTTTGTGAGCTCCCTTTGGTAAATAATGAAAAACATGGTACAAGTTCCTGGCTTTGTGTTGTTACAGTTGGGGTATTTTTTTGCCTGTATTATTCATGTTAATGTTATATGTTGTGGACATAGGGGGTGTGTGTGTGTGTGTAGTTTTATATAATTTTATTTTTTTATTCTTTTTTTTAATTTATGTTTTAGTTGATTATGCCATTACATAATCAATGGGGGGAGTGTTCTATTCCCCCCTTCATTCCCCTACCCTACCCCCCATCCCCACCATTACCCCCCCTTTACTTTATGACCATGTGTCTCAAGTCCTTTAGATTCTATATTTCCCATACTATTCTTGCCCCCCCATCAATTTTCTATCTACTGTTTATGCTACTTATTTTCTGTACCTTCTCTCCCCTTCTCCTCCTCCCACTCCCCTATTGCTAACCCTCCTTGAGATCTTCATTTCTATGTTTCTGCTCCTGATCTAGCTGTCCTTTTAGTTTGCTTTTGTTTTAGGTGTGGTTGTTAATAACTGTGAGTTTGCTGTCCTTTCACTGTTTATGTTTTTTTAACTTCTTTTTCTTAGATAAGTCCCTTTAACATTTCATATAATAAGGGCTTGGTGATGATGAACTCCTTGAATTTAATCTTATCTGGAAAGCACTTTATCTGTCCTTCCATTCTAAATGAAAGTTTTGCTGGATAGAGCAATCTTGGTTGTAGGTCTTTGGATTTCATGACTTGGAATACCTCTTTCCAGCCCCTTCTTGCCTGTAAGGTCTCTTTTGAGAAATCAGCTGACAGTCTGATGGGGACTCCTTTGTAGGTGACTGTCCCCTTAGCTCTTGCTGCTTCTGGGATTCTCTCCTTCATTTTAATCTTGGCTAATGTAATTATGATGTGCCTTGGTGTGTTTCTTCTTGGGTCCAACTTCTTTGGGACTCTCTGAGCTTCCTGGATTTCCTGGAAGTCTATTTCCTTTGCCAGATTGGGGAAATTCTCCTTTATTATTTGTTCAAATAAGTTTTCCACTGGTGGCTGTTCCTTTCCCCCTTCTGGTACCCTTATAATTCCGATGTTGGAGCATTTAAAGATGTCCTGGAGGTTCCTAAGACTCTCCTCATTTCTTTGAATTCTTGCTTCTTGACTCTTTTCTGTTTGGCCATTATTTGCTTTCTTCTGGTCCACTCCATTGATTTGAGTCCCAGTTTCCTTTTCATTGCTATTGGTTTCCTGTGCAATTCCATTCATTTCAATTAGTTTCGCCTTCATATGTTTGTCTAATTTGTCAGTATAATCAACCAGTTCTGTGAGGATCCTGATCACCAGTGTTTTAAACTGTGCGTCTGAGAGTTTTGCTATTTCTTCATTGCTTAGATTTATAGGCTCTGGGGCTTTGAGATCTTCTTGAGCCATTTTTGATCTGTTCTCACCCGTTAAGTATGAGTAGCGGAGCCTTGGACTCTCAGGTCGCTGGGTTGTGACGCTCTATGTGGAGGTGGGGTCAGAGCAGGGAAATGGTGGCGTCCTGTGCTGCCGCTGGCTGTGGGGCCTGCTCAGTCCCGTAGTCTCACCGCCCACTCCCTAGCTTGTCTATCTGTGCAGGAAAGCGCGACCACAGTCAACCCGCAGCCCTGCCCCCTCGCTGTTTCCCCGCGGTCGCTTGCTGAGTCACTTACTAGGTCCAACCCTGGGCCTGGGTTCCGCGTGCCCAAGTTCCTCTGACCGAGTTTTTCTGTGCAACCCTGCTCCACCAGCTGCTGGTTTCGCCCCTCTTACTGGTCAGGCTGAAGAATTTGTTGTTATCAGACTTCCGAAAAGTTCAATTTTCTGTGTTCTGGCTGTGTTTTCTGTTGCTATTATTTAGTTGTCTCTAAACTTCATTGTGAGAGAAGGCACTGCGTCTCCACCTATGGCTCCATCTTGGCGGAAGTCCTGTATAATTTTAATACATATGTAGGTTTGTGTATTCCATGGTGTGGCCGTACCATAGTTCATTTGACCATTTACCCATTGAAGAACATGTGGGCTGTTTCCAACTTTGTCTGTTCCAAATAAAGCTGCCATACACATTCCTTTACAGCATTTTGTGTGAACATAAGTTTTTATTTCTCTGGGATAAGAGCCCAAGTGTACAATTCCTGGGTCATATGGTAATTGCATATTTAGTATTAAAATAAACTGCCAAGCTGTTTTGCAAGCTGATTTGTGCCATTTTACATTTCCACCAGAAAAATGTATGAGTTTCTCCACATGTTCACCAGCATTTGGTGTTGTCACTTTTTAAATTTTACCTATTTTGATAGGTGTGTAGTGATATCTTATTGTAGTTAAATTTGCATTTTCCTGATGGTTGATCTTGACCCTCTTTTCGTGTGCTCATTTGCCATCCATATATCCTTTTTGACAAAATCCCTATTG